GTGCATCGGTAAGAAAATTCTTGCTTATATTGTCTGTTATGCTCTGTTGTAATTTTCTTATTGTTTTGTTGGTTTAAGGTTCATTATTATGTTCAATATGTCGGGTGTTATTAATATTGCATAAATTGTAGTGAAATATTACTGTACATGTTGTTTAGGAAGACTCGACACACTTCAAGGGCCGGGCGTGTGAGATGTCATGGTCAGTGTTCGACAGTCGTTGTCCTCAGGGGACAGATATGACCTGACTTATCCAGTCTTGGGGACTCCCGGAGGCCAGCAGACCAGAGTTAACCGGATCCCAGTTCAGGGGCGACTTTAGTTTAACCCCATCCCTTGTGTATGCTATTCAGGGGAGCTGGACCTCCTCTGTACTCGGTCGACCTCGCGCTTCCATACACCACTGCTGAGAGACTCGTCGGCAGAGCTGTTGTATGGTACTTGATCTTCAGGTGTCAGCAGATCATCATACTCCCCTAGTAACTTAATTATAATATTACTCTTTTCTATTTTTGTGTGTATATTATTGTAAATTTATTAATTTTTTCTGGACAAATTTTCCTTTAGCACCTGAGAATAGATTAGTCTACCATCAAAGAGCATATTTGGCCTTTGCTATAATAATTATAAATAAAAGAGTTGAAATATACATTAGTAATATATCTATTGTTCAGTCGGCTGGTGAATAGTGAAGATTCAACTAGGCTTACTCGGTTGGTTCTGTTGTAAAACAGATTTTGGGACATTTTCTAAACGACCCTTTATTTTGTCAAGGTTTTACCAACTAAAGATACCATTTTGGTTTTTTCCATAAAACGAGACACTATTTTCGAGAGATGTTTCTTATCAAATCCACTAAATCACCTATTAAATTTTGGCCTGTGGGATATTATTCGGAATCTTCATCCCGAACTGTGGCTTGTACTCTTGTTGAGGTCACTTTTCAGCAATTAACTGGGCTTAGGTAATGCAAGGTGTTTCCTGAAAAATAATAATCAGGGCTGCTCATAAATGAAGTATTTTAACACTGATTAATCGTACAGACAAATCTCGTCACGCTGTCTCTCGTGATTGCCTAGAAATTGCGCTCGTTATATAGTTTTGCCTAAGGTTGGGTTGGGTTAATTTAAGTTTCTCGAGAATCGGTCAATTCTCTCCTGTCGTGAGAGAACGTGAAGATATTTGTCTGTACGATTAGCCTCCACGTTATTTTAATCAGGGCCCTTAATTTTGATGAACTGCATCCCTATTAAGAGGTGGTGGGTTTTGGAAGTTCTACAATTATTGCATATATCCCCCTTCCCCCCCCCAAAAAAAAAATGCGGAGTACCCTTTCCCATATAACTCGGCCACAGAGTGAATAAGAATTCTGCATGTAGATTAAAAGGTTACATAATCTTCAATATCTTGAAGGTTACCGAGTTGGGTATGTATATTGTTACTGCAAGCAGTAATGAGTAGTGTTGCCGCAAACAGTAATGAGGAGGATGACACATAAACAAACATTATGTTAGGCTGTAAGTCATGTCATGTTTATTGGGTGTGCCTGCCCGCATACAGTATATACTATATAGAATATTGAGATGGTGGAGATGGAGAGACCCAGAGGAGGTTGAGGTGTGGGAGGCAGTAAGGGGAGCCTGTTTGTGTATAGACGCCTGACCCAGCAAATTTGGCCAGCCAGGGCTGGGCATGCAACGCCGGGCAGGGACTGGCACTGTAGGTATCCTCATCATAGAGGCGACACCTAACCTGTTTTCTTTTGAGACTTTCAACACGAAAGTTTTACTAGTACTTAAGTTTACACAGGTAGACTGTGTCCATTGCATCGGTTATCATTGTGACAACATAGAAATATGGCAAATTAAGTACTCATTATAAGTGTTGAGATTAGACTAATTACATAGCTATGATTATTATGTGAATATATATTGGATTAAACCTTTATGTATAATTGCCTATGTATGATTTATCTGAAATACTAAAATGAATTGTATTCAACAGGTTTGACTGAATTACAGTATAACGTTCGAGTTTAACGTGAAGCATGTGTGAGTGTGTGTAACATCACTAAAACATTTTATGGGCCAATCACTCATGGTGCAGCCCCCCTCCGCTCATCCGATGGTAACTCCCTTATTAAAGACGAGGAAGGCATCTTTCTGCGCTGGAAAAAGCACTACTATTCGCTGCTGAACCGAAACATCGACGTGGACGTCCTGACTACCCATCATTTCCCTCAGTATCCAGAGATGACCCACCTCGGCAATCCTCCATCCCTGGATGAGGTAGCTACTGCCATCATACAGGTGAAAAATAACAAAGCCTCAGGGCCCGATGGAATCCCAGCCGAGGTGTATAAAGCAGGAGTACCTCTGCTTACCAGCCGTTTTCACTCTCTCTGAGAGAATGTATGGGAAAATGAGGAAATCCCCCCAAGCTCTTAAAGACTCCTCCATTGTCAATATTTATAAAAACAAGGGAGACTGGTCAGACTGTGGCAAAGACCGCGGGATCTTGCTGCTGTCCGGAGCTGGCAAGATTATCGCCTGAATCCTCCTAAACAGACTTCTTCCTGAGGCTGAAAACTTCCTCCCAGAATCTTAATGTGGTTTTAGACCATCACGTGGCATCACTGACATGATCTTTGCTGCCCGCCAGATACAGGAAAAGTGCAGAGAACAGTGTCATGACCTGTACATGGCCTTCATCAACCTAAACAAGGCCTTCGACTCGGTCAACAGGAAAACCCTCTGGTGGACCCTCAGCCATTTTGGCTATTTACCAAAATTCATGGCCATTGTGAGGCAACTCCACGATGGCATGAATGGTAGTGTCCTTCACAATGGCACCCAGTCTGAGTTCTTCCCTCAACCAAGCGGGGGTAATATAAGGATGTGTACTAGCACCAACTCTCTCTCCCATTTTCTTGACTGCCTTCCTTGCTCGTGCCAGTGCCAATTTAGCCGGTGGGGTGGACATCGAGTACCGGATGAAGGATCTTTTCAACATAAGACGACTCCAGGCAGGAACAAAGGTGTCAGCAGCTTCTATTACTTAACTTCAGTATGCAGACGACCTTACCCTTGTAGCTCACACTGAACGCGACCTACAGGAGATCCTGGACACCTATGCAGATACGTATGCACACTTTGGCCTGCCCCTGGTTCACCCACACCTCCACCATCCATCCATCTTAACGGTATTACCCTCTCTGATGTTACCCACTTTCGGTATCTTGGCTTCCACCTGTCCACCACTGTGGACATCACTGAAGAGATTCAACATCGGATAAGATGTGCATCTCAAGCCTTTGACAGACTCCGTACCTGTGTCTTCAGCTGTAGGGAACTGAAATTATCAACAAAGTTCCACATATATCGAGCTGTGGTCCTCCCCACCCTGCTATATGGCAGCGAGACATGGGTCGCATACAGGATGCACCTCAAGGCATTTGAAAACTTTCACCAACATAATCTACGTTCCATCCTCCGAGTTCGCTGGGAAGACAAGAGAACAAATGCCAGTGTTCTCACTGACACCAACTGTAGGAGCATCGAGGTTACCATTATCCATGAACAACTACGTTGGACTGGCCATGTTATCCGCATGGACGACAGTAGACTGACAAAGCAGCTACTTTACAGTCACCTAACGAATAATAAATGCAACGCTGGCGGGCAACTGAAAAGGTATAAGGATAGTCTTAAGACAAACCTGTGAAAGTGCCAAATCGACCCCCTCACTTGGGAGTCGATTACTCCACACTGTAACGCTTGGAGGAGCACCTAATAAGGTGTCAACACTTACGAGCTAGCCCGGTTGCCGCCGCTCCTCCCTCACTAGATGTAGCCCTCTACATATGCAACATCTGTGAACGACTCTGCCGGTCCCGTATCGGCTTCTCTAGTCACCTTAGAACTCTCCAATGAAGGTGACATCCTTATTAACTCATATAATTTTATCATAGCTGAATGATCGCCATACTCGATTCCGTGTGACAGCAACGTAGTAGTAATATCTATCAATGTCTCTCTGTTTCACGCTCTCTCTCTCTATCTTTTTCTGTCTGATTTTCTTAACCGAGTTTTGTCCATGTTTTTTTTCAACAAAATGAATGGATCACCTGAAGAATCATCGCCCCAGCTTATTTCACCTAACGATTAAACCACCCTAAAACTATTTTGGGAGGATGAGGTTAGGTTAGGATATGTTAGGTTAGATTTAGGTTATGATAGAATAGGTTTAGGTTAGGTTAAGTTAGGTTAGGGTCGTTTAATCGTTCGGTGAAATAAGCTGGGGCGATGATTCTTCAGGTGATCCAAATGAATAAACATGTACGGTATTAAAATTTAAGCTCTCTCTCTCTCTCTCTCTTACGACAGAGTTCAATCTCTTATAATTTTTAATGTTGGACTCGTGTAACACTAACCTTGTTATGCACCTAAAAACCTTCGTTGTTGAAATACAGTAATAACATTATAACAATAACTCTCACGCTCCCTTACCTGCTCTATTTCGATATCCATCTAGATAAATTATGACTGAGAATCTCTGTCCCTTACGATCTCAGTGTCTCCTATATTTTTCTTCTTCTGTATATGTTAAACTGTTTCACACATTTTTCTCAATTTCCAAGTAGAGATCCCTAATAGGAATAAACAACATCATGACTTTGTCGCAACGTGTTTACCATTGTTCATATGCAATACCCGAATTATTTAGGCACAGAAAATTGTATACCTACAAATTGTCTATATACGGACTGACCTGTATGCCTGCATTTTTATACCGGCATTGGCTTTCTACACAGTGAACCTATTGTAAATTTGTATTGCGATTTTACTGAATATATATCTATCTATCTATCTACATGCAATTTATTGAGTTAGTCCGAGTTTCTTTCCGTACATCTTTCCTCTACAATATGGCAATCTACTTGTATGGCGATTTTACTGAATCTCTCTCTCTCTCTCTTTGAAAATGTATCAAGTTAAATTTGCCTTACTGATTACCCTTTGTATATTGGCACCGCACAATACATTGGACATTGAATACCTACAATATCCATGTATAGTTGTACACTGTAAACCTGCATGACAAACCGTTTATAAACTTGTATGACGTTTTTGATAAATACTTGCAGTAGCTATCTATCTACGAATATTTAATGAGTTAGTCCTTCGAGTTTCTATCCGCATTCATTTCTGTCCGCAGTGTGTCTCCGTGACTTCATACTACATGTGCGGTCAGCTGTCACCCACAACAAAAATGGCCGGCGTGGAGCATCACCACGGTCACCAACACCTGCCAAGAGGTCATATTCCCAATCCCTTGGACGAAAAGTTACTTAGAATCATCAGAGAAAACCTCGTAAGTATTCAAAGATCTGGATTTTATAAGCTGTTTGGATATATTTTAATGAGTTATGGCCGTAATGAGATGTTCCTCGAATCCGTGTATGTTTACGGATCTCCTTATGGTAGTACATTAAGTGAAGTTTTAACTATGGAGAAGTATTTTATGTTCGTGGGATATATTCCCGGGTAACTGATTTTCTTATTGATAGATACCCTTTCTAATATTATGGTCGGGATATTGTAAATGGATGACTGGTTAGCACATCAAGTAATACTGTATTGGCCTGGGATTTACTGGTATTATTGCGTTTACACACCGTTCATTCCTACCACTAATCTATTATCATATTCGAATAAGACGTCTAATTATAGATAATTTTCATCTATTACATTACCGGCGGAAATGTATAATAACGGAGATAGCATATCCAAAATTTTCTCTATTTTCTTCCATTAATCTTCCTCCATTATCGCCTGCCTTACCTCCAACACTGCGTGTCTCCTTCATAAATCATCACGCGCATGCGTTCCCGTACACGTCACGCAGCCAATCAAAAGCGCTTTTGCTTTTGGAACCAATTAAAATGATTTTGGGTTTAATTCGCAGTATATTTGGCCCAATCTAATTCGAGTTTTATTTTGGTTCTCATATTTTGAAATTCAAGTTCAGTTCCGACCATGGAAGTCTGCGATGGGTGTCACTTAAAGTATATGGAGCTGATTGCCAGTTTTTGGAAAAAAAAAACGTTGAAACTATAGCAATTTTTCGATCGCATGGTATTCTTCCAACCTCAGTAAAGTGTACTAAGAGCAAGACAATGAAAATATTGCAAAGACCAACATATGTGGCGTTGGGTAAGAATCCCAGAATGCAACGACGAACAAGAACCAGGACGATAGGGTAAGAAATAGGTGATTCCCTCATATGGTGAGAGTCAGTTAGGTTAGGTTAGTTTTTTTGTTTTTCTAGTGTTTTTGGTGTATTTTGCCTTGATTTTTTTTTTTTGAAAACGTCCAACGAAAAAAAATTGATAAAAAAACCCGGCTAATTTCTGCCAGAAATGAAGGTCATATTCGGTCTAAACACCCACAAATACACTAGAAAAATATACTTTTGATTTTCTAACAGAACGGTGTGACAATGCAAATTTACCGATTTACTGGTTTACAGACCGACAGTCGCTGAATAGTAACTTATCCTTTTAAGAAAGTTTAACAGATTGGGAATTTAGTAAAAGTATTAGATTTTTAGAGCATCTTACTCACTAAGAACTTTAAGTACATTTGGTAAGTACCCAAGTCAGTAGCAGCTTTTCTTCGTGGGTGTGCCTGTCGGAGTCACCTGAAACTGGACTTTTCTATTAGATTGATAGACAATAATTAAAAATCATAATTGACGTTCACATTGTTGCAGTGTTTACATGGACAGTTCTGGTATACAAACAATAGTAAACTGTAAATCAATTTGAATTAAGGATAACCTTTAAAAGTTAAGATAATTGCATGTAATAAATTTCCTTAAAAATTATGGCATTACAATAGTGTGTGTGTTTAAGTCTCCAGGTCTTCAAGGAAATTCATTATAAGACCTAAATGGAAATAAGTTTTTAACATCTTTCTTAGGGTCCGACTAATTACCCAAATGTACCTTAATCGATGAAACACGAAGTCACAAAAATTGGTAAACTTAACTGAGTTAAAGAAAAACAATGATGGTCTTGTATGAAACTGACTGCCAATCACTTTTTTCATTTGGTGTCACAATTGAAACTTAATTTAATCTGAGTTAATAGATCGAGTGCAAGTACCTAACCTTAGCTAACACAACTCAGGTTAAATTAAGTTTACCAATTTTTTTTTACTTTATGACACCAAATAATAATCGAGAAATGATTCACAGCCCGATTTACGCTTGTAGGACCATCATTTGACTTCATTACTACTACATTTGGGTACATTTGGGTAATTACTCGTTCCCTCGGTACAAGCACCATCTATTAACTCAGTTTAAATTAGTTTTCCAATTATTTGTGACTTTGTGACACCAAATACTAGTTTGTGAAGTGGTTGGCAGTCCGATTTATTCATGTAGGACCATTATTTGACTTCATTGCGGTTACATTTGGGTAATTAGTCGGACCGTCTTTTCTTAGGGCTATCCTTTGTTGATTTAACTTAACTGTTTACAGTACCATTATTTATTTTCCTTCACTGTCCATGTACAGTCTGGGTCCAAAAGTCTTGAACACTTGACAGTATTTGGCGTGTAAGTACCCGAAGATCTAAGGTATTAAGGAGAGTTTTATCCCATTTTGTGGTTCGGGCATAATGTGATGACAAGTAGTGTTATTAGTATATCCCAATCATATATGTATAACTCAGAAGTAGATGCCAGATATTGCTAAGTGTTCAAGAACTTTTGACCCCGACTGTACATAGTGAAGCAAATACAAACTTGTGTGATATAGTAATTTAATAAATATCTCAGATACCTTACCTATCAATCTTAAGGTATTCATCTCAGTCCTCTTCATGTTATTGTACTAAAGTACAGTATGCCCCACAAACTGCACTGCCTCTCAAGGTAGCTACATATCATAGGATGCAGAAAGGATTGTGATAATATCTCATTACTGTATGTTTTTAGTGTAATAAGACTTGGATTTCAAAAGCAAACTTTTATTGTGGTGTAAATGTTGAGAATTGGCTTGTTATTAATTTATTGGATGGAATAAATTGTTGCTTTCAACTGAGTCATGTTGGTATGTGTGAGTGTTTTATCAGGGTTGGTTGTAGATTTGTTTTGTAAACTTTATATGCCTAGGGCTATAAGAGGGAAAAATAATTCAAGAAGAATGGATTGGTGAGGGAATATAAAGACTTAACTTCATAAGGATAATTGGCCGGGGTTAAGTGTTGGGTTGCCAATTTAATCAGTGTTACCTTTTGACGGTCATTATAGATAAGGTTTTAATAATTCATAGGCTGCAGATTTTTGGGAGGAAAAGGAGGAGTGTTAACTTAAAATAAAATAAAGTTGGAAGTGTCTTAAAAAAGTGTCTTCTTACGTCAACAACACATCCTTAAACGATTTACGATGACTGACATAATTTGCCAGCCAAGCCAAAAAATTATATAAAGTTGTTACCGGTAGTTTTGATAAAGCTGGTTCGAATCTTCTGCATTTTTTTTGGACAAGACAGCAATGCTAAACAGGATACAGTATAGGAATATTGAAGTCATACTAAAAGATCCCGCCTGAAAAAGTAAAGAGGTGACCCTGTCCTTAACCTTTACCAAATTATTAATACTACTCAGAGAAACTTTCACTTACAGCTATTTTGAAAATTATATGTTAAAAGTCAAGGAGACAGAGACCGCTCCATTTCTGTGTATATTTTAATGGAATATTTACTGATGTGTGTTTGTGTCACTGGAAAGACTGTAAATCCAGTGGTGAAGCAAGAAAAAAAAAGAGTTAAATCTTAGGAACAGTAGCTATACAGTACAGTAATTTTAGCCCTTAAATGGTGGCAAGGATTCTCATCTTCACCCACAAGCAATTTTTTCAACCATTTTAGAGGTGAGGCCAGAGGGTGGTTTGGTTTATTGTTCACATGTATTTATTCCATAAGTATTGGTGAACTACCGTGCTGTTATTGACTCTATAAATACCTATGATATATATTCTTTTTCATTTGTCAGTAGAAGTAACAAATCAGGGTGACATACCATAACACTTGATTGTCTCAGAAAAAGTGTTGGATGTGACAATCAAGAACTATTAGATATGACATTGCACTGCCTTTGTATCCATACGTCCGCGGTGTGTTCTGTTTGGTAATTATTGACAACTTACCTGCCGCTGATTTTCGTAGAAAACGATCATAAAAATGCCGCAATTTCTTTGTTTTGTTGTGAACACTGTCATAGTTTGTGCAAATGTGTAAAAAAATAGTTATTCCTAAATTAAACCTAACCTAACCTTAGTTGATAAGAAAAACAAGTGGCAGAAGCATTGTTAGAAGACCTCACCATTTAACCAACCAAACAAACAAACCTACCTAACTCCACCTAACTTCCTAGTCGCTCCTGTTCCCCGGTATATTAAACAAAAAGAGCTTACTATGATAGTGTAATTTAATTTTTTTAATGTGAGAGCTTCCACCCATAATGAATGGCTCAAGCATACACTGAGCATCAGTGTCGTATCCGGCCCTCAATGAGATGACACCGCCACATTGCTGCTGAGAAGACGAAGTAGTGCACGCCTTGGGGCCTAATTATCTACCAAACAAAGCATTTGCACAAGAAATGATTATTATATCAGGAAGAAAATAAACAAAAACAAATAATGAGTCGTATGGTCAGTCGTCGGTATTAACCTTGTCTTCATATTGTAAAAGGTGATTACTCCATTGTTTGAATAAAATTTAAGAAGTGATTTTCATACTGCTTCACTTCTGAATGTTGTATCACAAAACAAGCTTAAGAGGGTTTATACCAAATGCATTGGTACTGGTACAGTACAATGCTGTTAAATAGCTGTACAGTATTGTAGATTATTACGTTTACAGGCATTTCTTTTATTTAAGTAACAATCAAGACATTTTGTTATTGTTTTATATAACCCAAAGTAAAGATGGTGTAATATCAGTGGCAGATCTGTGCGGGGCATCCCTTTTGGAAAATACTTTTAAGTTTTTAGTATTTTAAAATGTATTAATTACACGAGTGAAAGTAATCAACATATTGCAAGAGTAGTTCTGATTATTTTACATATTTTACAAAGAGTTGCTTTCCAAAGTTGGGTGCAGGATGAAAATATTGTTAGAAAAGTACTATATAGTACTTTACAGTCGGCATCCACTTAATGTATGTGATGCATTCCTGATAACCTATCTGTTAAACAGATGTACAGTCGGCCAAAAAAAGGATCTTCACCTATGGTCTGATGGCCACTTTGTTTGCCAGCCAGTCGCATCTTTTAACTCTTTGGACAATTTGTGACTT